AGGGGCCCCATGGGCCCCCTGCACCCCAAGGGCCCCTGGGCAGCGGCCCCGCTGGCCTGGTGCGTAATCCGTCCCTGGGCATGGGCTGAATGTTTTATATTAGCGTGATCACATGGCAGCTGCTGGTATCATGTCCTCATATACAGACTCCCTGCTAAGTCTATGGTGGGTACGATGGGAGCGGAAACAGAACCAGACAAGCTGCAAAATCTGGTCTGCTTTCCAGTTACCGGACCAGCACTGTCAGACAGCTTCCTTACTGCTATAGCCTCAAAAGTTGTTGGGTTTTCCATTACCCCAGACCCACCATGGAAACTGATAAACACATAGCACACCCTCCGAAGGCTCCTCAGTCATGTGACCGACCATCAGGACCAGCAAATCACACTGTGCATCGACACAGCCCATCAAACTAAAGACCTAACACACCCTAAAGGCACTCTGAAAATATATAGTTCGGGATTAGTATAAGTATTATTAGAGTAAATCACCAAAATTCATAGTGGAAGAATTTCTATATTAAAATAAGCAGAAAAAATAATGGTATGATATTATTACTGAAAATCATTAATACAAAATATACAATTTCTGCATTTTCAATAGCATTGCAGTAAATGTCCATATAGTCCATATCTCATGCCATGCTATTCCCAGCAGCCCCCAGCAGGGAGGACCCACCTGTTACTCAGCTGTGATTCAAGCATGTACCAGTGTTTTGGTTAGGGGCACTGATTCTATGGCCCAGTGTGTGGCAGCATCATCCGACACTAAGTCATGTGCTCTAAAGCTATGTTCAAGCTGCCTGCACGGACTCACCTCCCTTCTTTTTTTTGCCGTCCACCTTGATGTCGTTACTGGGATCCATAGCATCTTCCAGGTTCAGATCACCTGAGGCAAGGGGAAACATGGAGTTATACAAGACCACTGGAGGTAGATAAAGTGACGAGATCTTCCCTAGAGGCCGTTCAAGGTAATAGTGATCTCCTTTTTAACAATAAGTATAATTTCCATATTTGGTTTATCTTAAATGATAAAAAGTGTTGGGGGGGGGGGGTGAACTGGGCTATAGCTCACGCTAAGCTTTTAAGGCTACAAGAATGATTCCTGGTCTTAGAGGAATGTCTTATGAGGAGAGGTTAGCTGAGCTGAATCTGTTCAGCCTCGAGCAAAGGAGACTAAGGGGGGACATGATCCAGAACTATAAGTTTCGAACATGTTTGGGTGC